TCTTTTGATTTCTTCTATGAACCAATGTTCATTCAGTAGCATGTTGTTCAATTTCCTTGTGTTTGCATATGCTCTAGGGATTCCTGAGTTGCTAATTTCCAACTTCATTCCCCTATGCTCTGAGAAGCTGCATCGTATGATTCTGATTCTTTTGAATTTGTTGAGACTTGCTTTATGACCTAGTACGTGGTCAATCCTGGAGAAGGTTCCATGTACTGCTGAGAGGAATGTAAAGTCTTTAGATGTAGGATGAAAAGTTCTGTAGATATCTGTTAGATCCATTTGGTCTATAGTGTCATTTAAATCTATGGTCTCCTTGTTGATTTCTGTCCTGTTGATCTGTCTCTTTCTGAGAGTGGAGTATTGAAGTCCCCCAGTACTATTGTATTGGGGTCTAAGTCTCCCTTTAAGTCCCTTAACAAATCTTTTAAATAAACCGGTGCCCTGTAATTAGGTGCATATACATTGATAATCGTTATATCTTCCTGTTGAATTGATCCCTTAATCATTATATAGTGCCCCTCTTTGTCTCTCTTAACAGTTTTTGTGTTAAAGTTTATGTGGTCTGATATTAAGATGGCTACACCCGCTCTTTTTTCATTTCTGTTGGCATGGTATATCTTTTTCCAGCTTTTCAGTTTCATTCTGTATGGATCTTTATTGGAAAGATGTGTTTCTTGTAGGCAGCAAATAGGTGGGTATTATTCCTTAATCCATTCAGTCAGTCTGTGTCCTTTAACTGGACACTTGAGGCCATTAACATTCAATGTGACTATTGATAAGTAGTAACTTTGCCCTGCCATTTCCCAAAGATTTTTTTTAAACTTTTATTTAATGAATATAAATTTCCAAAGTACAACTTATGGATTACAATGGCTTCCCCCCCATACCGTCCTTCCCACCCACAACCCTCCCCTTTCCCACTCCCTCTCCCCTTCCATTCACATCAAGATTCATTTTCGATTATCTTAATATACAGAAGATCAGCTTAGTATACATTAAGTATGGATTTCAACAGTTTGCTCCCACACAGAAACATAAAGTGAAAAATAATAGATGATTTTTTTTAATGATGATGAAATCAGAGCAGACCTATTGTCATGTTTAATCCCAGTGAGAGTCAAGTTGGGAATTGATAATTTCTTTTTTTTTTTTTTACAGAGGATCAGTTTAGTATGCATTAAGTAAGGATTTCAACAGTTTGCACCCCCATAGAAACACAAAGTGAAATATATTGTTTGAGTACTCGTTATAGCATTAAATCTCAATGTACAGCACATTAAGGATAGAGATCCTACATGAGGAGTAAGTGCACAGTGACTCCTGTTGTTGACTTTACCAATTGACACTCCTGTTTATGGCATCAGTAATCTCCCTATGCTCCAGTCATGAGTTTCCAAGGCTATGGAAGCCCTCTGAGTTCTGCGACTCTTATCTTGTTTAGACAAGGTCATAGTCAAAGTGGAGGTTCTCTCCTCCCTTCAGAGAAAGGTACCTCCTTCTTTGAAGACCTGTTCTTTCCACTGGGATCTCACTCACAGAGATCTTTTGCCAGAGTGTCTTGGCTTTCCATGCCTGAAATACTCTCATGAGCTTTTCAGCCAGCTCTGAATGCCTTTAGGGCTGATTCTGAGGCCAGAGTGCTATTTAGGACATCTGCCATTCTATGAGTCTGCTGAGTATCTCGCTTCCCATGTTGGATCACTCTCCCCTTTATTTATTCTATCGGTTAGTATTAGCAGGTACTAGACTTGTCTATGTGCTCCCTTTGACTCCCAGTCCCTCCAGCATGACCAACTGTGAACTGAAATTGATCACCTGGAACAGTGAGATGGCATTGGTACATGCCACCTCGATGGGATTGAATTGGAATCCCCTGGTATGCTTCCAACTCCACCACTTGGGGCAAGTCAGCCTGAGCATGTCCCAAATTATACATCTCTTCCCTCTCCCATTCCCACTCCCATGTTCAACAGGGATCACATTTCAGTTAATATTCAACACTTAAGAATAACTGTGCATCAATTACAGAACTAAACCAGTCATATTAAGTAGAACAGATAAAAAAACTACTAAGAGGGATAATGTATTAAGTTGTTCATTAACAGTCAGGGCTATGCTGATCAAGCCACCGTTTCCCATAGTGTCCACCTCACTCCAACAGGTCTCCCTCTTGGTGTTCAGTCAGTCGTCACCAATCAGGGCGAACATATGGTATTTGTCCCTTTGGGACTGGCTTATTTCACTCAGCATGATGTGTTCCAGATTCCTCCATTTTGTTGCAAATGACTGGATTTCATTGTTTCTTACTGCGGTATAGTATTCTAAAGAGTACATATCCCATAATTTCTTTATCCAGTCTATCGTTGACGGGCATTTAGGTTGGTTCCAGGTCTTAGCTATTGTGAATTGAGCTGCAATAAACATTAAGGTGCAGACCTCTTTTTTGTTTGCCAATTTAAATTCCTTTGGGTAAATTCCAAGGAGTGGGATGGCTGGGTCGAACGGTAGGGTTATATTTAGGTTTCTGAGGAATCTCCAGACTGACTTCCATAGTGGCTTGACCAGTTTGCATTCCCACCAACAGTGGGTTAGTGTCCCTTTTTCCCCACATCCTCGCCAGCATCTGTTGTTGGTAGATGTCTGCATGTGAGCCATTCTAACCGGGGTGAGGTGAAACCTCATGTGGTTTTGATTTGCATTTCCCTGATTGCTAATGACCTTGAACATTTTTTCATGTGCCTGTTGGCCATTTGGACGTCCTCTTTTGAAAAATGTCTATTGAGGTCCTTGGCCCATCTCTTAATTGGGTTGTTGGTTTTGTTGTTGTGGAGTTTCTTGATCTCTTTGTAGATTCTGGTTATTAACCCTTTATCTGTTGCATAGTTTGCAAATATTTTTTCCCATTCTGTCGGTTGTCTCTTCACTCTCCTGACTGTTTCTTTTGCAGTACAGAAACTTCTCAATTTGATGCAATCCCAATAGTTGATTTTGGCTTTGACTGCCTGTGCCTCCCGGGTCTTTTCCAGAAATTCTTTGCCTGTGCCAATATCTTGAAGGGTTTCTCCAATGTTCTCTAGTAACTTGATGGTGTCAGGTCGTAGATTTAGGTCTTTAATCCATGTTGAGTGGATTTTTGTGTAAGGTGTAAGGTAGGGGTCTTGCTTCATGATTGGTTAGTAATTCCGCACAGCTGAGTGGAATTGAAGGTAGTCAGCTTCCGATCTCTGGCTCCTGTGGGTATAACATTCACCTGCTCTTTCCCAGGACCACACAGAGAATCTGTTCTGCCCTCAGTGTGGGCTCAAATTCTCCTGTATTACAAGGAGATTGAAACATCCTGCTGAGCATTTGGCAAGAATTTAAGTATGTAACTAGTATATTGACATAAATTGCTCAAAGTAGGTTAAAATACATACCAAAATTTTAACACAATCATAGTTATTTTCTCATTGAGTAGCATTGTTATTTATAATAGCTTTAAAATATAAATGCATACAGTTAAAATTGTGATTAAAATACATAGGTGATGCTGTAGTCAGGGGAAGCACTTGTGTGTGTATCCACTTCTGTGTGTATTTGATTTTAGGTGAAAGTGGAGATATCAATCCTCTTCTCTCATGTTTAAAGGTCATGGGATGTGACCTGAACTTGAATAGATCAAAAAGTACAAACAAAAGTAGAATCATTATTTAGAAATATGAAATACATTTCAGAAAACTCTGTGACAATGAATCAAAGATGTTGCATTTAGGGAGAAGAACTTTGAAGAGAGTGTCTTGCACTTACACCCAGGTGCAAACACACACACACACACAGAGTCCTCAACCAGTGATCATTTGACTTGTACTTTTTTTTTACTTTAATGTGGTATGGAACTGATATCCACTAAAATAGGAATCATATTTCAAATTTTGATTTTTGATCTCTTCTGGAATCAAAAATATGCAGCGTGATATTGTTTTGTGAAACTGGATAATGGCAGTAAGCTAGAGTTTCCAGTCAGTCCCACATTCATGAGAGATAACAACTGATTCCCTAATGTACCATATTCAATAAATGGCATGGGCTATCCAACTCTCTACTATAAACTTGGTTTGCATTAGATGATTTTGATCAATGTTATGCTTTGTAAGTGTTCTGGAGCCCAGGATAAGCTATAATATTTTAGAAGTTAGGAGTATTTAATGCATTGGCACCTTAATGATATTTTCAATTTATGATAGGTTGATTATGGCATAACCCCATTGTAAATTGATGGGCATCTATAGAAATTTACCATAAAATTTAACTTTAAAAACATTCCATATTATTTGATAACAAGTTAATATTCATTTCTGGGTAGCGAGTGGTGTAGCAAGTAAAGGTGCTACCTGTGGGGCCAGCATCCCATATGGGTACTTGTTCGAGTTCTGGCTGCTCCCTCCACTTCCAGTCCAGCTCCCAGCTGGTACACTTGAGAAAGCAGTGGAAGATGGCCAAATTCCTTAAACCCCTGCACCGATGTAGAAGACCCAGAAGAAGCTCCTGGCTCCTAGCTTTGGATCATCCCAACTCCAGCTGTTGCAGCCATTTGGGGAGTAAACCAGTGGCTGGAATCTCTCTCTCTCTCTCTCTCTCTCTCTCTATATATATATATATATATATATCCTCCTCAGTAACTCTGCCTTTCAAATAAATAAATATTTTAAAAATCAATATTCATTCCTAATTTTTCTGTAATGACAGTAATTTCTTGAGTTAATAATGAGATAAATGTTATGTTCATGTTTTAAAATGTATCATAATTTTTACTAAATAAGTTGATATATTTGCTAAAATATCATTATATACAAATGCACTTGCATAACTCCATTTCATGGAATTTTTACATTTGTCTAGTTATACTCAGAGCATGTAAAAGGCCCATGGTATAACCCTATACCTCTTGTAACCCTGAAGTTCTGTGACAACTGTGTCAGTTTTCTCTTTCCCATGAGTTCTTTCTTATGTCTTATCAGCTAGGGTCCAGGAGGAGATTGAGCATGTGATTGGCAGACACCGGAGCCCCTGCATGCAGGACAGGAGCCGCATGCCCTACACGGATGCTGTGATACATGAGATCCAGAGATTCATTGACCTGGTCCCCACCAGTTTGCCCCGTGCTGTGACACGTGATGTTAAATTCAGGAACTACCTCATCCCCAAGGTAAGAACGTTTCTCCCACACCGTACCTCTGGGCTTTTGAAATTCTGAAGTTCTCAGTACTGTTTGAATACCTATTCTCATATGTTTGGCAGATTGATGGACTTAATACTATTTCTAAACTACATAGCTTCAAACTATAGTGCTACATAATAGATCTTCATATATTGCAATGTGAGTCTTCCAAATTTGTTCGACTTTTCATGATTACTCTGACTACTGTTAGTTCTGTACATTTTCAAATACATCCTAATGTCAATTGTTAATTTCCAAGCACTCTCCTAGAGTTCTAGGGGAGTAACATTAAATCTATAGGTAAATTTAGAAAAAAAAGAGAGATCCTAACATGTTCAGTATTTCAACATGTGGATATTATATATTTTTCCAACAATTTGAACTTTCTTTATTATTCTGGTAATAATTTGTTTCCAGTGCAATGGTACACACACATTTCAAAAGGTTTCTCCTGATACCTAATATCTTGATTGTAACATAAATAATAAAGTTTTTTCCATTTCTGTTTTTGTTCTATGAAAATATTATTATAATTTTATTGCCTTTTGTCTTGCAAGTTTGCTAAATTTACTAGTTGTTGCTAAAATTTTATGTGTAGATTCATTTGGAATTTCTAATGTACCTTATCCTACTTGCTTTATTTTTTATTTTCTAATTCTCATGACATTAATTTATGTTTACTTTATTTGTGCCCTGGAGGGAATTTCATGAGAGCATTGAGCAAAGCGGTAGTGGTGGGCATCCATGTTCTGTTTTTGATCTCTAGTACTGGTGGTTTAATAACAGTCTAGTGAGCATGATGGAAGATCTCCATTTTGGTAGATGTGTTTTTTTAATATTTTATTTATTTGAAAGGCAGAGTTACAGAGGGAGAGAGAGAGTGAGAGAGAGAGAGAGAGAGAATAGACCTTCCATCCACTGCTTCACTTCCCTAAATGTCCACAACTCCCGGGGTTGGACCAGACCAAAGCCAAGAACAGGAGTTTCCTGTGGGTCCCCTAGGTGGCTGCAGGGACCCAAAGATTTGGGCCATCTCTCACTGCTTTCCCAGGTGCATTAGCAAGGAGTTGGATTGGAAGTGGAGCAGCAAGGACTCAAACTGGTGCCGATATAGATGCTCACACTGTAGGCAGTGGCTTTACCTGCTGTGTCACAGCACCAGATCTAGATGTTGTATTTCTTCTCAAATGAATGGAGATTCCTTTCTCCCATCTTTGCATGATATTTTGTGACCAATTTCATTAAATGGATTCTACGCTTCTTTTTCAGTGGTATATTTGGCCTCCCTTTCTCCACTAAATATGTTCATAATAAGTAATATATACCATCAGCTTTATCTTATCCTCTTATTGTTTGTAAAGGACATTTGTATTTATATTTGTGAAAGGTCATTCTCCAATTTTTCTTCCTTGAAATTTCCATCTCAGATATCTGATATCAAGGTAATGCTGGCCTCATAAATGAAGTGAGATACACTCTTCATTTTTAGTCTATTTTTATTACCTTCCTATATTTCCACTCTTCTTTGGTGAACACTTGGTTGTGTCTTTGTAATGGCTAATAAACTTTGGTTAAGAATAAATTATGATTGAAAAAATGTGGTTTCTGATGATTTTTATCATCTTCAAAAAAGAGTTCTTATACCCTTCCAAGCTCGTAACAGTAATGCTTTATTTCCTACTTTCTGTCAGGATTAGACATGATCACACTGCACTATTAAATGTAACCATCAGCTGACATACCTGAGATTCTTCCAATAGAAATTTCTACAGCAATGCAAATGTTGTACATCTGTGTTGTCCTATAAAGAAATTATGAGCCACGGGTGCATGTGAAGTATCTCTTATATTATCGGGACAATTGAATGAATGCTTTTTAAATTTTATTTATTTTCATTAATTTAATAAACTAATATTAAGTATAAATAACAATATATGGAGCATGGCTACTCTATTGTGCAGCACAAATATACAGTCTTTTTCCTAACAGGGTTAGAAAACCTTTTTCACCAAAAATCTTCCAAAGAATAAAATATAAGTTAGCAAGATCTCTTTGGCCAGCTAAAACTTGACTTTGAATGAAGTGAACCATTTATGTTCTTATTTATCCAAATTTTAGTAAATATTCATAATTTCTCTAAAAATATCAATGTGTTTGTTTAGATAATATTACCCTACAATATGATGAGTGTATCATAAATTCTAGCAATTACCTTAAAATATCTTTTGAAAATGTAAAAAAAATTCTGAAAATGGAAATATTAGGTTCCTGAATTTTCACTTACGGGGTCAAGTATTTATAACTCTAAGAAGGTAAATGTTCATATTTTTTACCTAAAGTGGAGAAATTAGAAGAAATTAAAACTACAACTCCAAGGATATTTTGAGATGCCTAATAAAATAAATTAGGGAAGAATAATTTGTGCTTTTGTGTCCTATCTAAAACTATTTTACACCACAGGGAGCCAAAGGTTTACCCCTGCATTTTGTTTTAGAAATTTTATACCTTTAACTCATGTATTTAGATCACTGATCAACTTCAAGTTAATTTTTATTTATGTGTGAAGTATTGATCTTGCAGAATTTCTTTTCTTGTCAGTATCAAATATTCCAAGATGATCTGTTGAAAATATGTCTTTGTATCTTCAGATAAATTTTCACATATTAAATTTTTAAATAATCCATGGAAATAATCTAAAAGAAAATATAGCCCATATATATGATAAACTCAAGGAATGAAACAGTCACTCAGCATCATATCTTTAAAATTTTTAAACTAAATAGCATTTTCAATACCAATATATATAAGTATGTACATGCTTACTTTTATACCTAGATATCTTTCTACTTTTCACATTTAGCACTTCAATACTCAAATATATATATATCCTAAAAATAAGAACTTTCTTTTATATAGTAATAAAAACTCGTATCTCTTCATATTCAAAGAATTATCATTGAGGCCAGTGCCACGGCTAACTAGGCTAATCCTCCGCCTACGGCGCTGGTACCCCAGGTTCTAGTCCCGGTTGGGGCACCGGTTCTGTCCTGGTTGCTCCTCTTCCAGTCCAGCTCTCTGCTGTGGCCCGGGGCTGCCAGTGCAGGATGGCCCAAGTGCTTGGGCCCTGCACCCACATGGGAGACCAGGAGGAGGCACCTGGCTCCTGGTTTCGGATGGGCGCAGCGTGCTGGCCGTAGCAGCCATTTGGGGGGGGTGAACCAACAGAAGAAAGACCTTTCTCTGTCTCTCTCTCTCTCACTAACTCTGCCTGTCAAAAAAAATTATTATTGAAATAATAATATTGTTGCAAAAATACCCTATACTTAAATTTTCCATTTCTACTACTTACTTTATATTCCTTTTTCTTGCAATATGTTGTCCAAACAAGGAACAAGGATACAACTGATTACCTTGTCCCTTACTCTTAATCATTTCTTCTGAATATTTTTGGCTATTTCCATCTGTAAAAAAGAAAGAGCTCTGTCATTATTAGTTAAGAGGAAAAACTCATATCAGTAATAACTGCTCAATTTTATTTCATTTCTTAGCTGTGTATTTTATCATCTAGAAATGGAAACTTCTAATGAAATCAGACTGCTGGTCTAAAAACCTTTTTGAAAAGACACTCTGGACAATTCAGGAGCCAACGGAGTCTTTTTTTAAACCAGAATTCCTTAAAGATGTGGGAAACTGAAGGGATTACAAAGAGCAGCAGGTGGGGATAGACATCAGTGTTCGTTGCCCATGTGGTGACAAGGAGAACAAACAGAGTGTTGAGATCCAAGTATTGCAGTACTGAGAACTTCACATTTAATTGTAGGTCACCTTAGCAAAATCATTGCCACCTCCCTTAAACTCATGCATTTTATTACTTTGTATGTCTAGCTGGAAATGTCATTGCTTTTATTTGGTGAGAATTTCCTCAACCAAGGATCAGAGAAATTACACGAAATAACCTCCAATATTTCTTCCAGCTCCGTGACTTCATTATATCTTAATTTATCTGTGCCCATTAATTCCAGGGCACGACCATATTAACATCACTGACATCAGTGCTACACGATGACAAAGAATTCCCCAACCCAGAGAGCTTTGATCCTGGCCACTTCCTGGACAAGAGTGGCAACTTTAAGAAGAGTGACTATTTCATGCCTTTCTCAACAGGTATAGAAATTAATTCACTAATACAGAAGACAAATTATCTTCATGGGGTCAGTAAACGTTGATGATGCCTAATTCAGGGGCTGGGTAGAACTGCTTTGTGTGCATGACCACAAATACCACCCTCAGGGCTCATGCATGTTCCCTGACCATGGTACATCCTCATTTTGGATACAACTTTGAGTTTTCAAAATTAAGAGAGGTAGAGGAAAGGTTGAATTCTGCCTCTTGAAACATCCTCAACTACACATAATTCCTCATTCAATAACTCACATTGTTTCAGGCTAGAAAAAGAGAGAAAAATGATGCATGTGATCTATGCTTAATTTTGTGACTAAAACCAGAAAGAGTTAGAATCTACTGTTTGCGGGAGTCATGGAGTGCAATGGGAAATGTCTGGCTCAGAAAAACTAGAAGTGGATGTTCTCAAGTATTCATGTGAAGACAGGTCAGAAATTATATTACTTCTAGACAGAAGGTATAGCATGAGATAAAAGTTGAAACAGCATGGTGTGTTGGAGACTGATGAAGAGTGGGTGTGGCTAGGCAACAGACTAAATGGATGATATGAATAGAAGGAAAGATGATGGCATGGAACACCAGGCAGGGACCAAGGAACCTAAGCATTCAAGGTGGATTTCTAGAAAAAAGATTGAAAAAACAAGTTATAATATGTGAACGGTTAATGAAATGCTCAGCACAGATCTAATGTTCTATAATATTAGGTGAATTAAGAGGCCTTCGTAAATGAAGATACTAGATGGATATAAAGCATTTCCATCATTTTGTCCATCTATAAAATTAACCATATTTCATATTTCATAACTATATTCCATATTTACCAGTCATCTATCCATTCAATTATCCATCACATAGTAATGACATAATTCTTTTTGTACCAAAAGGAACCTATTATTCAAGGAGTATCTGTCCTCTGTTACTTTCAGGAAAACGTATTTGTGTGGGAGAGGGCCTGGCCCGCATGGAGCTGTTTCTATTCCTCACCACCATTTTACAGAACTTTAGGCTAAAACCTCTGGTTGATCCAAAGGACATCAACATCACCCCAGTTGTCAATGGATTTGCTTCTGTGCCTCCTCCATACCAGCTCTGCCTCATTCCTGTCTGAAGAAAACAGATTGCCTGGGCCCATCTCCGCCTTCATCCACAACTCCTCTTCCTCTGGTCAGCTCCTTCTCTTTATAGGAGATGCTTTCTCAGACCTCTCCTCTCATATTCTTATTCCTTCAAGATCCACTTACCATCCAACTTCCTTTAAGGAAAGTTTCCTGAATTTTCACAAATAAAATATATGACTACCATTCTTCATACTCCCCATACCTATATGCTCTCTAATTTAATACTTATATGAGTGATTACTGAGGTTTCAATGAAAACAGACCAAAACTTGGAAGATATTGTTATGTGAAATAAAACATAAATAAAAAACAGAAACTGCATAATGTAATTTACATCAAAAAATCTGAAGTTTGAAGTCATAGAAGTAGAGAGAAGTTCACTCGAAGCTGGGATAGGGATTGGATTGGATGAGTAAAGGTGAGAAGTTAGCTAAAACGCACAAAAGTTCAGTTAGTCTGGTAGAAGGAAAAATTTCTAATGATCTATTTGACACTGTGATAACTATTGCTATTAATAATTCATTGTATATATCAAAACTAATGTAACAGGTTTCAATGTTCTCATCACATACAAAGAATAAGTATGTGAGATAATGACCATGTTAATTAACCTATTTTAATTATTCTACAGGGAATACATATATCACAACCTATTGTACTCTGTGTAAAAATGTATACTGTTTTTCAATGAAAAACATATGGAAGTGGATTAAAATTAAAAGTGCATATTAAAACCAAATTACATATGCATTAAATCTTTTTTTTAAGCTCTTCACACCTTCCTTTATTTCCCCAATCCACATGGGAGACCTGGAAGGAATTCCAGGCTCCTGGTCAGATCAACCCAGTTCTGTCTGTTGCAGACATTTGGGGAATAAACCAACAGATGGAAGACCTCTCTCTGTCTCTCCCTCTTTCTCTCTCTGTAACTCTTCCTTTCAAATAAATAAATTTTAAATCCAAGTTTCTAATTGGTACATTTAAAAAAAAGAATCTCATACACATACCTTTTAGAAAAGATTTATTTAGTTATATGAAAGGCACAGTTAGAGAAAGAGAGAAAGAGGACACACACACACACACACAGAGAGAGAAGTAAAGAGAGAGATCTTCCATCCACTGGTTCACACCCCAAATGATCACAATGGCAGGACTGGGTCAGGCCAAAATCAAGAGCAAAGAGCTTCATCCAGAGCTCCTTCCAGGATGCAGGGACCTAAGTGCTTGAGCCATCTGCTGCTGCTTTGCCAGGTCCATTAGCAGGGAGCTGGATTGGAGGTAGAGTAGCCAAAACATGAATCAGTACCCATAGGGGATGCAAACATTGCAGGCCACAGCTTAATGCGGTACCCCACAAAGCCATCCCCGACATACACATACTTCAAGTGAAAAAACTAAATACAAAACATATTAATGTGTGATTCCACTAATGAAGATCAGAAACAGGCAAAATTCCATATCGTGTGATACTGCATACATTTAGGAAGGAGTGGAGTGAATAATTAACACAGACATGAGTGGACTTCTGGAGTCCTAGCAAAATTGAGAGAGTTCATTGAAAAAAGTTGTGAGAGTTCATTGAACTTCATATTTAAAACATGTGACACATTCTCAATGTATATTATTATACAATGAAAATGGTTACTTCACAAACAAAAACAAACAGCTGTAACTAAGCTGTGTCTGTTTACGTCATCATGCTGATGCTTTCCTGTCCACCATTTGGGCAGTGATGGGAAATCTAATGTGAAAGTTACTGAACTGGGGACTGAAAACCTGGATTCTAAAGCAACATCTTGTTCTGATTTATCAGCGACACTTCAACTCCCTCACTGAAACACCAGTTCCCCACTCATATAAATAAAGTGGTGGATCTCGAGATCTATCCTGTTTCATTACTGATGAGTCTCTCATTTAATAAAACAAGGCAAGGCCAGGAGGGAGCCTCACGAGAGGAAGGGGGAGGAGAATAGAGACAACCAATTCTTTTTTTTTTTATTTAATAAATGTGAATTTACAAAGTGCAACTTTTGCATTGTTGTGGCTTTCCCTCCCCCAACCTCCCTCCCTCCTACTGCCCTCCCATCTCCCACTCCCTCTCCCATCCCACTCTTCATCAAGTTTCATTTTCAATTATCTTTATATACAGAAGATCAACTTAGTATATACTAAGCAAAAATTTCAACAGACTGCACCCACACAACCGCACAAGATATAGAGTACTGTCCAACTAGTAGTGTTATCGTTAACTCTCATAGTAAAACACATTAAGGACAGAGATCTTAAGTGGGGAGCATATGCCCAGTGACTCCCGTTGTTGATTTAACACTTGGCACTCTTATTTATGAAGTCAGTAATCACCCGAGGCTCTTGCCATGAGCTGTTGAGGCTATGGAGGCCCCTTGAGTTCACCAACTCTGAACTTGTTTAGTCAAGGCCATGTCACAGTGGAGGTTCCTTCCTCCCTTCAGAGAAAGGTGCCTCCTTCTTTGATGGCCCGTTCTTTCTGCTGGGGTCTTGTTCACTGAGACCTTTCATTCAGGAGAGACAACCAATTCTTAAAGAATTAAGTGACTAATGGGTCACTGAGTTCATTTTATCCTAGATAAAAGAGAATTTTTCTGTTAGACTGTAGAGCTATGCAAGTTAGCAGCAATCATTGATTCTTGGAGACTAAAGAGTTCACCATAACCTGGGATTATGCAAGTCTAAAGGTTTCACAACCAAACGTTTCTGACCTCCATTGTAAGTACCCGATGCTGTAATATTAATTCATTGTTCATTCTGGAAGTCATAAATTAGGGTAAACCAGAGCAGACTTCTTCATAGTACACCCTAAGTAAATTTTCCTGAACTGAAGGTTTTGTCTGTAGGAAGAAAGACCGTGAGAGTCAGGAGATGAGGCTCCCAGCCTCAGATCTACCAACTGCAGATGCCATGACCGTGGCCAAGGTACTGAATCTCCAAAGTCCACCTCCTTCAACCCTGAAATGGGAATAATGTTACTTCAGGTGAAGGTAGTTGAGAAAATGAAAATTACTCAAATGGATTAAAATTACCTATAACTGTCAAAATCCATGTAAGCATGAAGAATAAATATTATATTACTGGGATCTTGGTAAAAATTTAATTTTTCCAATATCTTAGATGTAACTATATCAACCAATTTAAAATAAATATGATGATAAATATACAGGACACAAACTTGTACAGGCATTGCTATTAGATCCAGCAATGTATGTACGGAAAGTCCTCTCCCGTTTGGGTTTGCATATTGTGGCCCTTTTGTGCCATGAATCTATTTAATGAAGCTCTTTCCTCCCATTCATCACCCAAACACAAACCTGTTGTTCTGTCTCCATCTCACTTCCTGGCTGTGCAATATTACATTGCAATATATGACTAAAATAACAGAAGAACCTTATCTGGAGGTGATTGGGAGATGGAAATGATCCCATAACTAAATTCCTCTGATATTGGTTGTGTTCTAAATTATACTGAGCAATGCTGGAGAGGGGAGAACTCTAGTTCTCCACCTTTTTTTGTAGAATATGGCCCAGATATTCTTTTTTTTTTTACTTTTTCGTTTATCTTTTTTCTTTTAACAGGCAGAGTGGACAGTGAGAGAGAGAGACAGAGAGAAAGGTCTTCCTTTTGCCGTTGGTTCACCCTCCAATGGCCGCCGCGGCCGGTGCGCTGCAGCCGGCGCACCGTGCTGATCCGATGGCAGGAGCCAGGAGCCAGGTGCTTTTCCTGGTCTCCCATGGGGTGCAGGGCCCAAGCACCTGGGCCATCCTCCACTGCACTCCCTGGCCACAGCAGAGGGCTGGCCTGGAAGAGGGGCAACCGGGACAGAATCCGGCGCCCCGACCGGGACTAGAACCCGGTGTGCCGGCGCCGCTAGGCGGAGGATTAGCCTAGTGAGCCGCGGCGCCGGCATGGCCCAGATATTCTTACAGTGACCTGATGATGTATAAACAGAATCAGTGCAATGGAAGTCAGAATAACTAATAATTTGTAGTTTTGTTTGTTAAAATTGCTGTTAAGGACAAGGCTGCAGAGCCATATCCACAACAATGGACATCAGAAGATCTTAGTTCAAATCCCAGCCCTACAATCTGTGAGCTGACTCTAGGCAGATCTCATAGTCTCCCAGAGTCCCTGTTCCCCAGTTGAAAAATCAAAATTCCAAGTCACTACCTCTATCTTCCACAGATTTTAGGGTTTTTAATGATAAACATTGTATATATCTACTTAGTTAACGACTTTGTATACTTTTGATCCTTCAAAATGTATGAGTTGTTAGTATACTACTGAGTCATTAAAATATGAACTCTTGCCATTTGCTACAATATTGGTGAACCTGGAGAACATTTTGTTTGGTACAGTAAGCCAAGAACTGAAAAATACTGCAGGATCTCATTCATATCTGTAATATAAAAACAGTAATTTATCCAAAGCAAAGAGAGTAATGGTTATTACCAGAGGCTGAGGTCACAAAGGAAGAGGGAAATGAAAAGATATTGGTCAAAGGATTCATAATTATAATTAGATAGGAGGAAAGATTTCAAGGAATCTGTTGTAGAGTAGATATATTGTGTTCCTGAAAAATGTAAAACAAATGGCAGGAATTTGGTACAATTGTTAAGATGCTGCTTAGAATGCCTGCTCCCATATCAGAAATCACGTCTGGGTTCATGTCTCTACTCCATCTCTGATTGAAGCTTCCTGCTAATCTACATCTTGGCAGGCAACAAGTAATGGCTTACATTGTTGAGTCCCTTCCACACATAGGGTGGACCTTGATCTTGTTCCAGGGTCCATGGTTCAGCCTGCGCCAGCCTTTGATATTGAAGGCTTTTGGGAAATGGACCAGCAGATCAAAGCTCTGTCTCTCCAATATCCTTCTTACTTCAAATAAAATTAAAATAGGTAAATAAAAATTTTAAAAGAAAAATGTAAAGAAAATGGATGTATGTGTTTATATCCAAATTATATATGTGATGTGATACAATTTTAATTAGCCAGATATAACAATTCTAAAATGAATACATACTTGAAAAGATCACATTATATCTGGTAAGCATACAGGGTTATCTGTTAATTTAAAAAGTAAAGTTAGGGGCCAATGCTGTGGTGAAATGAGTTAATCCACCACTAGTGATGCCAGCATCCCATATGAGCACTGGGTTACAGCCCTAGCTGCTCCACATTTGATCGAGCTCCCTAGTAATGGACCTGGAAAAGAAGCACATGATGGCCCAAGTACTTGGATATCTGCCACACTAATGGGAGACCTGGCTGGAGTTCCAGGCAGGTGGCTTGGGCCTGGCCCCTTACCAGTTGTTACAGCCATTTGGGGAGTGAATCAAAGATAAAAGAACACCGTGTGTGTGTGTGTGTGTGTGTGTGTGTGTGTGTGTGTTTTACTCCCTCTTCTGTAACTCTGCCTCTCAAATAATAAAATAATTTTAAAAATAAATGTAATAATGTATGAGTTATTCTACCTGTTTTATTTATAAGCAACTATAATATTAGTACTATATATACCAAAGATATATCGAAGGTTTCCAGGTTGAAAGACAAAACATTCATGTGGTTTTTAAAACTGTTTTTAAAGATAGATTTATTTATTTATTTATTTTAAGTCAGAGTTACAGAGAGAGAGAGGGAGAGACAAAGAGAAATCCTCCATCCTCTGGTTCACTCCCAAATGGCCATAACAGCCAGAGCTGGGTC